TATTATGCCCGCTACATATAGATACACACACAGCCGCAACTCGCTGTTCTAGCGTCCACAACAATGTGTTTTTCAGACAAGCTCTAAACATGGCGCCTGTCGGCAGGGACTGCACAGGCGCGAGGCGGGAAATCCGCGGGCCGTTCGCATACCAGCGAGGGCAGCCAGCCAACTCCATGCGGGTCCGAGCTGGCGCCCCCACCAGCCGGACCCGCCGGCGCTACAGTATTCTCCCATTTAGAACCACATAGTATTTTAAACAGAAAACTTATACAGTCACACTCCATAAGTAGCAGACCGCATTCCTCACGTTTCTCTATTCCCATCATGTATGGTCCATGGATACTCACAGCTAATTGCATGGCAAGATCTTTGCGGCCAACCTTCTCCAGTGCTACACAGAAGGCTTCTTTCTGATTGACATCATGAGGGAGATTGTTTCTCCACATGACCAGTATGGAAAAGGTTTGACGAACAAAATCTTGGGGATGGTCTGCCTCCACTTGTGAAAACTCAGCACTGCTTAAGCCAAGCTGTAAAGACAGAGGCAGCAGATCACGAGGCGCTATGTATCTGGAGATGCCGTAAAGACTTCTATCATCCAAAGTTCCTGTTATGTAGAATTAGAGATTTAAACCAATCTATGAGTTATTTAAGTGTTTAAGTGTGATGGGGGTGTTACTAATACATTAGCCGAGCTGGTTGGGGTGGAAATACTGTATCAAAAATTCAAAATGAGCCACATTTGCTAACCAGGCAAGATGAAATGCCATTAATCCAGTACAACAAAAATCCAGGATGGAACAGCCAGATGATTTGTTCCACAGGGTGCCAGAATAAGTTTCCACATGGGTACTTGTGGTTCTCAGACCTTTTTTTTCTCCTTTTTTCTTGGTTTCCCTTCCAAACATTATTGATTATGTCATTAAAGTACATTACTTTCTTAGGACTTGTATATGATTTTTGACTTGCACAAAGGCCTTGCACACTTTGTCAGGGTCTCCTAGACATGCTGCTGACAATTCTTGGGTAATACCATAAAAAAAAACAGGGACCAATTATTTTGCACAATTGCTTGCATACATGTAATGCTTCTCTGCCTACATACATGTATGAAGCATTTGTTTTGTAATCTGATTTTTTGATCGAATTTTAAGAAATTGTTCCCATTGACTTAAGTTGTGATTTCAATTACATATGAAATCAAACAAGTTTGCCCTCTTTTTACAGAGGTGGTAACAAGTCGATTTTTGCAAATCCAAGTCAAGTCACAAGTCATTTGGTCCAGTCACAAGTCAAGTCACAAGTCATTTGGTCACAGGGCAAGTCAAGTCACAAATCATTTGGTCCAGTCATCACAAGTCAAGTCACAAGTCATTTGATCACAGGTCAAGTCAAGTCAAGTCACAAGTGAATTTGGTCCAAGCACAAGGAAGTCACAAGTCTTTTTGACCGTGTACAAGTAAAGATGTGCAATATGTAATTTCAAGGAGCAGCCTAGTCTTGGTTCTAGGACCTTCTATAGTTATTCTGCGATCCGTGACATAAACCACACAGGAAGGTTTGGGATATTTGTTTGACCAGGGTGGAAACAGACTATGGTAATAATGGTAGGATATGCAATATTCATAACACTTGAGCAATAATCGATGGAAGTTATTCAAATTACCTTCAACCTGTCAACATGCTGCTTCACATTCACGAACGTCATTTTCAAACTGAAACATCAGCCAACATCAATTTTAACATTTTTAAAGACGCTTTGAATAAAGCAAAAGCATGTATCCATGTATCCTTCTATAGTCTGGGGTAGTAACCAAGAACTTGTGATGAGCATAGATAACCGAAAATTTGAGCCATTTTCAATTTTTGCCATGTTGCACATTGTTGCACGCTGTAATGTCACAATGTATGATGCCTCCACTCACTTTAGTACCTTGAATTTAGCCCATTTCTCCGAAACTAAAACTTACAGGCTGAAATATTAGAAAAATAATTTATTGGCCTTTCTTGCAGGCATGTTACAACCACCTAAGTGGATCATTTTAAACAAAGATTTTTGGACTTTGAGATCACGAAGCTATTTTTGTTCTTAATTATAGGCCAAGTGATGTCATGAACTGATATGAATATTTCAATATAAGGCTCAAACGAAGCTAAGCTGTTGATTGGCTCCCCCATCAATGAAAAATGTAAGCACTGCCGAACAAATCAGCCAAGTGATTCAGATGTAGCCTCGGGCAGACAAGACCGAAGAAGTCATGAGCCAAACTAAGTCTTGCGCTAATTACATTAAGAACTCAAGGCATAAGTTGACAGGCCTAGTTTGAAGCTGTAATGGGTTTGATGGAATAGTTTTCTTACTTGTGTTGGTAACAAGTCATAATATGCAAGTCCAAGGCAAGCCACAAATCAAAAACTGATAGTTACAAGTCAAGTCACAAGTCACAAAAATAGTGACCCAAGTACGACTTGAGTCTAACTCAAGTGACTAGAGTCTACAACTCTCTTTTTAATTTGGGGATACAAAATGGGCTTTGTGTGACAATTGACATTTTAAACGAATTCATAATAGCAGTTACCTGTAGGATTCTCATTTGAGTTCTTGTCTCCACCAGAATCATTGGGTTGTGTCCCTGATGAAGATAATAATGGACCAATTGTACAACAGTACTTGAAGTGAGTTGAAAACCAGTTATACAGGGTGTATCACAGAAAAGGAAATCCAATAAATAACATTAATTTTTAGGAAAACCGCAGTTTTCCTAATTAAACATCATATGTCTCCAGAAAGGCTTTAATGCGTTTTTTCCTATGCCACCTTGATCACATGCTCAATGTCAGGGTTGAATGAGTAACAATGTGTTGTTGACCAGCAGGTGAAATTTGCTCTTTGACAGGTTAGCTTATATACACATATAAAAAGCACTCGTTTGTTGCCCATGTCAGCATCATCTTCCATACAGTGTACATGTATGTTGACTTGTCCCTTCCAACTTGTCCCTTTGTCTTTTAGAGCAAAGAGCTGCTTCCCGTGTCCGGGGTGAGATTTTAGGAAACTGAAAAATCAGGGGAAAAATACTCCTAAACCATGCCCCTTAATCCTCCATTTTAACGATTTATCGCACCACATGCTTCTGGTTTCCTGGTGTTTTGGCACAATTCTACATTTTTTACCCACAAGTTAGAAAAATAGATTTTAATAAAAAATTATAAGTTAATAAAAAGATCCTGTTGTCTTTCTTTCTTCACAAAACACCTCTTTGTCACAACAACTTTTGTTCACTTTGGCTTGTATTTGAAAAGGCTTGTATTTATATTTTCGTAATCACATTCGCAACTTTTCAACAGAAACTTCCATTATCACAAGCAGTGAAAACACACATGCAGTGCTCAATGTATTGAAGCAATGCTGTGCTACTTCCTGCCGTACCATGCCATTGTCGAAGCCATGATGGAAATGCAGCAACCAGTCAATGTATCCCAGCCAAAATAGCGTTGTTGCACTACATGTACACCATGTAAGTCATGCACGTAGCTCAACAGCTGCACATTGGAAAACATTTGACGTTGCATAAAGATTTCCGCAAGTCAATTTACATAACTTGATTTCTGTACTAGTGAATTTAATTCAAGGTTGTATAGCTTGTACCATGCTCATACTTCAAGTGAGCGTGCCTCCACAAGATTTCCTGCCGCAACACGAGGTTTATTTCCCGCCCCTCTAGCATGTCTAGATGCATCATACACACATACCACAGACAGACATTGTTCAACAATTTCTCACCATGATTACCTGACTAGCGTTGTGCATAGTGGTGTGAATTGTCCCTAATTCTTGAGGATTGTCGACTCCATATATTTTACATTGATTAAGGCAAGTTTTCTCTCTTTACACAGCAATTTGAAGTAGATTTCGTCCCCATTTAATCAGCAAAAAAACTGATCCCCCCAAAAATTTCTTTGACCTACCAACTCCATTTTTGAGAGGCATGTAATCGGAAAGACACCTTTTTCTTGTCCAAAAATATTTGTCTTCCCATTCACTGCCTTTTTTTACCTGACTTTTGAGCTGCAACATTTCCACGGATTTTTCAAGCCTTTATTGGGTCAAAGATCTCCACCACGATGACTTTAAAAGAATAAAGAGCCACAGCTGCAATTTTCATCAATCAAAGGACAAGTTTTCACAAACGTGGCCAGTAGCAATGCATAGCATATACATACAGTTAAGCTGTGCCGAGTTCTTACACCCACTGTTCAGTAGAGTTCCATTGCATTCCAGTGGGACTAAGGACACAGTATCTCAGATGGAGTTTGTTACAGTAATAAGCAGAAGCATAGGAGTGCATGCACTGTTAAAACTTCAACCTGCATAAGTTTTACACTCTTTTTTGTGCAAAATTTGGAAAATGCTACTTCTAGTTCCAGTAATACCAAGTAGAAAGTCCGGAATGCACATTTCCAAAATCTGGAGCCCTGTTTTGGGTACATGGTCCACCAGGATTGCGTTCAATGTCAGTTGTTAATATTTCAAGGGTACCCAGTACTGACATAAAACGCACACCCCTAAAACTTATGAATTTCAATTTTGGAAAGTTACATACTGTGGGTGGGCATTCTGGTCTGAGGCAGTTGTGGGAGAGGCTGAAGCTGTGCTGCCGCTGCTGCTGTCGTTGTGGGGATACCTCCAGTGGCAGCGTTAGTGCCTTCTGTCTCCTCCATCCTCTTTTGTCGCTTCTCCTTTGGCTCTTCCTGGCTCATGAAATGCTGCATAGCATCGGTCTGCTGCTGAACACCTGGGGTGGTCTGGGGTCCAGCGACAGCATCTGGCACATTATCAGAGGTACCTATGGCAGCAGAAAACAGGGAGGACACCAATCATTTTACTAANAGCATCTGGCACATTATCAGAGGTACCTATGGCAGCAGAAAACAGGGAGGACACCAATCGTTTTACTAAAGATTAACAAGAATGACAAGTTAACAATCTCAAATGTTGGCCTAACACTGATGTTGGTTGGAGAGATGTTGCTCTTGCAGCTCCTAATTGCTGCAGCAGCTTCTGGTACTGCATATTCACCATGGGGTCTCCATAGGGTTGTTGCTGCTGTTGCTGCAGTTGCTGTTGTAAGTGCTACTCTTGTAGCTGTTGCAGCAGTTCTTTTTGCAGTCTTTTTGTTCAAACAATCCAGCCAAAAGACAACCTGCTGCTTTTATTGTTACCATACCTCATACATACTCACTTGCCATTACCATTCAGGCATCACTGAAATAGATGAACATTTACGCATGCCACCATCTTGCGTAGCTTGATCATCAATGCTTGTGCTTGAGCGCATACAGTACATCAACTTAATAGACAGTTCCACATTAGCTTCATGAAGCACATGTATAACTAACTATTCCTCCCAGATTAGTCTGAGAACAGTTTACCATGAATGTGTATTGGACTTGGGTGTGGATTCTCAGGTGCACACATATCATAAGCAGCAACAATTGTGACTGGCATGAGATGGTGAATGCCGGGACTAGTATTCAGATTTTCATCATGCATAAATATGAAGTATGGCAACATTACTTGACTCTAATGTTCTTTGCCACTTTCTGACAGTTCCACTGCTAATCAATTGAGGCAAAATAGAGCAACTAACTTTTGATATACGGTCAACTGCCCAAAATACTGATTCACAAGAATCAAAACATAATTTTTATACATGTATTTCTTTATGCAACCTCACATTTTTTAACACTCTGAAGTGCACCTACAGAGCAATATTGCCTACAAAGAAGTCGTGCAGAACTTTGTGTGTGTGCACAAAACAGGCTGTGAAGTGTAAACAGAGGCTAAGACTGAAGTTCAAGTTCCACACACAGTCTGTCTCCAGATTCTCACAGTTTGTGTATGTGCAACTGTACATGAGCAATGGAGGATGAGCTTATTTGAAATGCCAACCAGGGACTGAGACAAGGCACACTTGGCATAACAATTATCAGTGGTTTCTGTGCATATAGACAGCCAATTCGTGTTTACGTGTCCTTACACATACACTGCATGGTTATAAGTAAACTCACCCACTGTTTTCCTTTGGCCATTCTCAATGTCAGCAAGGTCTCTGAGGATTTTTTGCATGCTGGGTCTTTCCTTGTAGTTGGCTTGCCAGCATTTACTTAGTAGATCACTGATTTGTTGGTGTTCTGGGAAGTCACATGGAATCTGCAGTCGTTCGTTTCTCTCAACTACAGCTTTGTAAATGTGAAATCCCACTTTATCAGGATAGGGGGCCTTACCAGAAATCATTTCCCAAATGACAACACCATAAGAAAAGACGTCTGATTTTGTTGTGACCTTGCATGGTTTTCTTTCACTCTTGGAATCATCTGCAACATTACCAAAGACCTCTGGTGCCATCCATGGGTAGGACCCCCTATTGGTGACTGTGCTTATGGTAAAGTCCCATTTCCTAGATATGCCAAAGTCACATATCTTCAGTGTGTCATCATGAGTGACAAGGTAGTTGGGTGATTTGACATCCCCATGTTGGTACCCCTTCTGATGGATGTACTCCAGAGCCTTAGCACCATCCTGGGCCCATCTCATCCAACGATTCTGCCTATACTCTGGCCAGTTATCACGGTGTTGGCGAATCACATCATACAAAGAACCCTGCTCGGCATATTCTGTTACAATCATGTAACTGTCAATTGCTGAGGCAGGCTTCACAACTCCAAAGAACTCAATGACATTGGCATGCTTCAGTTTGGCCAGTATCAAAACTTCATCCTCATGGAAATTATTGCAGACTTTAACAGCTACTGTTTTTTCCGACGAAGCCAACGTCCATGTTGCCCGGCACACTTTATTTCTGCATGCCCCTGAACTAATTACAGGACCAACTGAAATGTCTTTTCGATCAATGTTGACATAGGAAGCTCCTTCCATCTGAAGCAAAATATGGAGCAAAGGCAGGATTAATTAATAAATCCAAACATAAATAAAGGGATAAAATGTAATGAATCTCTCTTAATTAATGTGAACATTAAAGGGACACATCTCATTAAATGATGTATGGATGGTAAAGATTGGTATACCTTTTCATCCCTACATGTAAGTGTGCACATAGGGACAACAGATATTGGACAAACAGGTACCAGGACCCCACCATCCCAGGGTTTCTCCATTTATACATTAGAAAGGTTTCTGTGTACATGTGTAATACCTGCACACAATTTGGTATGTGATATGAGGTTCTCAGCACTGAAAAAGTGTTAACAAGGAACACATCATTTCATGCACAGGAGTTAAGGCAGAAATGGATTTCCAACCCAAATGACATCCATATGTGTCAGTAAGAAAAAACATCTCACAGGTATTTGACTTGAATGAGTTTCACCATCTGAAAGCTCCTAAGCAAAGTATCCTGCTGACATCTAAGAACTGAATAAAAGTGTGGTTGAACCAGCCCCGACAAGTCAGAGGGCAACTGGGTGTCTTGAAGTTTTTTTGACTTTGAGATACAAAAGTGGTCTTTCTTAAGACACACTTACCAACCCAAATTGTGCAAACCTTGGCCACTTCTTCCCTGGCCAACTGGCCTCCTAGTCAAATTGTCTACTTCTCAAATCAACCTTTGGCTTATTTGGGACAATTATTCAACTTTTTTGAAAATCGAAACATGGAAATTACCTTGTGATGAAAAACAGGAGGTTGTCATCAACTGCCCAATGGAACTTGGCCAAGTTTGGTCCTCATGGGCCTTCCTGCCTCAAAGGTAGCAAACAGGAACCTGAAGCAATAAGAGAGTAATGCTATAATTATTCCTTTTATGCTACATATATCATTACTCATTGAATTACAATTTAATTGGAGAAGTAACATGTTTCCTATGTAAATCCTCAACGAGCAAGGGGGAGTGGTAACCCACCCCTTGGCATATTCTTTGCTTCCATCACAATTCGTTCATCCAGGCTGAACTTTCAGGATCTTTTCCAGTGATGTCCTCAAGTATTTTGACACCAATTTTGTCAAAATCAGACATACTGTTCTCACATAATACCTTTATTCTGAGACTGTAAACTTGTCCCAATGACAAGCTTAAAGGATGCTGGCTGACATGCATAAGGCCATGAAATATGAATGATCATAAAAGTAAACCATATTTCATAATAAATTGAAATTTCACAGATGTACTCATAATGCCAGTCTTTTAATACGAGCCAAATTTCAAAGACTGGGTGTGGGACAGTCGAGTTTGGCCCCTCCCTCCCCAGGCTGTGCAGCGATATTTTAACTCAAGTGAACTTCCTTATGGAGTACCTGTGCAGCTGAAGGATTAACCTATATATTGAAGAGGGCACTGTAACAAAGTTAACAGTGGCTTGAACACAGGTTGTGCATATTTTAAACTTGCAAACAGAAGGGACCAAGAAGATCAGACTTCCACTGGAAGGGGCCCCGTCTTGCCACCGTTCTCCCAGTTTACTTTGAGGGTGATGCAAGAACATTACAATCTTAAAAATTTTTAAAATGATGATTTTTAAGACATAGATCCCGAGGGCACAATGATGTTAAAGAACCTTAAAACCACAGAAAACTACAACATGCATATTCCTTGGGATCAAGTGTGAAATAACTGCTGCATGGGTACACATTCACTCATCCCAATGGGGTGGATCCTGAGGGTGTGTGGGGGGTACACGCCCCCTTCCCCCCGCCTTCCACCAAAAAAATTAATAAATAAAAGAAAAGGTGAAAAAGAGTAAGGGAGAAGAAAAAAGGTTTCATTCTGCCTGAAATTGCATCAGAGTACCTCGAATCCAAAATGGCTCCGGGCTTCATGCTCACGGGCATTTTACCATTGCTGCTTAGCTCATGCCCCTCCTTTGGGAAAATCCAGGATCATTCCCCTTTTGAAAAATCCTGGATCCGCTCCTGCCCATGACACAAAGATGCATGACTCATACAACCACTCAACAACTGTCTTTTTTTTAATACATTCATTGAACATTCATCACATGTTCACTTGCCTGACAGAAGTTACTGACAAAGCAGAAGTTTGGATTTACCCATTTATCACTGTCTGGTTCCAAGACAAATAAATCCTGAGTTTATGGGCTGTTCAAGGTTCAAGAGTGAATCCATGTGATAAAAACTAATGGCACTGAAACAAAACTGAGACCAAAATAGACTGGCTCTAGTCTGGGCTAGGTGGATAAATTTTCCACTCCACTTGCATTCAGATCTTCCTTTTTATGACTTAAAGACTACCAATGTGTAAAAAAAAACTTAAGTAACAACATTCAAGTTTTCTTTTGACTTTCAAAATATTTAAAATGTTTAACACAAGATTTCTTCTGTCCATCTCTAGGACTGTCCAACAGTGGTGTAAATTTAGTTGGGGGAGGGATGACTTGCCCAGCCACAGAAATTTAAAAAGGGAGGGAGATACTGAAACCATGTGACATATGACACTGAAGAGCAATGTTCATTTTTTTTGATGCAGATGTCCATCAGTAATATGTATTACAATCCTGCAGAACCTGCCATCAAAAGAGCGTTTTTTCAGTTGTTCTCCCTTTTCGAGTGCTGCTGAATACATTTTGGTTGTTTTAACTTGTTTAGAAGTCTGAAAAATTCCTCACAATCTGCCTTAATATTTTCTCATCAAGGAAAAGTCTGTGGGAGGCGATTCAATATCAATCCCCTAGTCAAAAATGGGGGCGTATACCCCGCCCATGCCCCAGGATTTACGCCCATGCAGTCCAACTGGTATGACTGGGCGTGCACCGTAATCGGAACTTTCCCTTGCGGTAGTTTATTAGCCATCAGAAAGTGATAACATGTTCTAAATAGTCAAATTTAGCACAGAAATTATTGAAGAGTTTACTTAGAAAACACTTGGAATTTTCAGACTAGTCTCAGTCATTTGGTTTGTGTACAGAGTAATGTCTGGTTATGCAACTCTTTCTTTCCTGATCACCTTGATTGAGCTGTACATATGGTCTTCTGTAGTGTGGATAGGCAAAATACATACAAATTTAACCATTTTAATGAGGTATAACTACCTACCCAGCAGACATCTAACCTCATAGGCCTACATCATCGAAGTACATGAAATCTGTATGTGACGGCAGAGTACAGTAAGTTGGTATAATGCTAGGGAGGTCAGCGAAACGATCATTGTTTTCATTTATATCTGTCACCGTGTAAAAGTGCCTTCAAAAAGTGATTTTTTTTAACCTTTTTCTGACGTTCAAATAGATCCAACCCTCACAGAACTTTTAAGAAGAAATAGTAATCTTTAAAGGGATGTCTTTTTTGGCGTGATTGAGATGTTGAAAATGAAGAAATCTGTGGTTCAAAACGATGAACATTCACAACGACTTGTGAGCGCTCCCTTTCCTGCGCATGGCCATCTTGATTTGATGCAACAACGCCCCCTCAAGTTTTGGGGTGTGAACTTGCAATGGTTTGTTGGAAAAAAAAGAAATGACATCATCTACAAGAAGAGAAAATTCTCTTTTGTTTGATACCAAGCATAGACGCTTTTGTCCAGGCATTCGCCCCCTCTCTGTCAACGATTTTGAGACAAGAAAAATGTAATTATTTTCAAGATTTGATCTCTAAGAAATTGTAAAAATTCACACATAAGGAGTTGATGAAAGTGTATAAAAGGGGTATATTTTGAAAGACTGGGGTCTCAGCAGGTTGCATCCCTTGTGTTTGGGTTGCCGTGGCTTGACGCATTTTGCCGCACTGAAAGTTTGTGTGGCGGGTTCCTTTGGCGATGTGACGAAAATATGGTCAAGCAAGATTGGGAAAAGGATTTATGAACATATGATAATGCACTGATGGCCGGTGGTAATTAATTATAGGCATTATTTATTGAAAAAATGTTGACTAAAACCAACAGTTGAGTCATGCAAGGCTATAGGTACAAATTTGCTCTCTTTCTGTCATTACTAGACTCACTCGAAACAATGTCCATTGCTACATGTACCTGAAGCACTCTCAGGACCATGCCTTTATTTTCTGTGCACATCATTCAGTGATTAACACCTTGATGAATTGATGCTCATTGCTCTTGCATGCCAAGTTGTTTTTCTGCCTGCACTAGGTTCAAAATGGGCATGTATGCAACAAAAGAAAATAGGCCAGGTCAACTGATGAGAGCAGTTGACCAAGGCCATGCATAGTCAACTTTGCTACATGTACGTCACCAGGTCACAAAGAGAGGTTTACTTTCGGAATTTTTCCAAAATCCACAACATAATGACGTTGTTTTTGGAGAAACTGTTGCTAAGTGGGCCTACTTTAGTACTGAGTACTATTACTACCTATTCAAATCTGTTAGTCCAACACACAGAGGCTTCTTGGAATCTTGGAAAGCGCCGCATCCGTTGATTCTAACGCGTCATGGCGCCTCATGCCGATTTAGAAATCGAGGGGAATTCCCCTTCCCTTACGTCGTTCACTGGACTAGACTGGTCCCAGCTCCCAAGCATATTCGAATGCAAACGGATAAGGTGAGAGGTGACCATTCCACACGAAGACATTGAGCTATACTTAGTGTTTTTTTTTTCACACTACTTCTACGGAAGCTAGACTTCAAAAATGCTTTACTCGTGGCTCTGGAGCAGTTTTTTCGAGGGACAAGTACGACATTGCATTAGGGGAAGCTTCGAGTTCAACGAGTTACGAAGACTAGTCTCCTCTCAAGAACCACTTCCCTCATGTTTTTTGTTTAAATTTTCGACTCCATCGCGTGTTTAGTGTTACGCGCACACGGTATGGAGTTACTGGAAATCTACAGTTAAACTGTTTTGCTGCTGTTGTTTTGGCAGTTTTTTCTAGAGGCCTCAGCAATAAAACAAATTCAGTTGGTCTATAACTGGTTCCAACGTTGAATTTATGTGGTTGATATCGTGGGAAGTGTACCGCTCAGTATTGCCCCATTTCGCGTAACCGTGCCAAGGTTTCGCAGTGAATCTCTATTCATACATCACCGTGGAGGATATGTGGAAGCTAGCAGAAAAAAATGCTGTTGACTTGTCATTTTTCATAAATACGATTCCTGTTTGCCCATAAGCCTCAACGAAGACCACTTGTCACCCTTTAAATTATTTTTTAACGAGTTCATAGTGAGACTATACGTAACTGTGGTCACTAACACTAACAGCCGATCCAAAGTCAATTGGCAAACAATTTGCATGTCTGTCCAACAATAATATTTTGGCGGCAACATCGTGATCTTAGGTCAATTCTGTTTGGTTCCAAGAATATCGGGCGGAAAAACTAAAACCTTATGTGCAGACTTCCTTGTGTTGCACAATATTGTGGGGATTTTCCTCATACCGAATATTATCAACTGCCACCGTGATCCCCCTTGAACTACACTTTTGTTCACAGAAGTGTTCATTGAGTTTAGTTCTTCGAAATGTGATTCAATGGCGATTTCAAAACCTCATGCTGGTATCAGAGAAGTTATACATGCATTGAGATTTTAAGAATCATTATTTCTCATGGTTTGTCCAGTTGTGCACCTGCATCTGTGAAATACAACTACCATCATATGGTAATCCGGACTATCACTCGACCCTTAGGTTCACTCAGATCGTCAGGGCACGAATTAGAATAATGGTTGCAGAAAAGTTTGGACCAAGGTAACACACTTTGCGCCTGCTCTACTTGAGAGGATGAATATCATTTTGGCCAGTGTCTTTTCCTTGTTAGTATCAATAACACACACCAATACAAAGCAGGGAAAAAAAGTCTGTCATTGTTTGGTCATGTTTTGTTTCGTTTTGTCTTTTCCTTTTCCTTTTCCTTTTTTTCAATGGGGGCGGCGTTATTGCAACCACCCCGTCTGCTAATCCCACCGACATTGCAAAATAATCGGCAGGCGTTCTACGTTTTCACGATGATGAACTCACAAAATAGTTCTCCAGTAATGATCCAAAGAACTTTTGAAGATGCCCCTAGAATTCAAACCATGATTCAAACATCTTGATCGTAAGAGAAACGCGTAGATGTAGTTTTCGACACCTCTGATGACTGCTTTGGTGAGTGGCCGTGCAGTTATTGGTATTCGTGTAGGTCTATATTGATTCACCATAATCGTTATCAAGGAAGCACATTACGAGATTCGAAACAGCAGGGACTTCCCAACATTATTATGAAGCGCAATGCAAAGTACAAAGTCATTCTGCTGCCCCACGTTTGGTCAGTTGCTTTGCGTTTGGTCAGTTGAGAGGGTGGTGAGACAACCATCAGCTGGGACTCTTCCTTGTTCTAAATCAGGCAACAAAGCAGTAAAGGTCCACAGTCATTGATCATGGAGGACGGCCAATTGCCACTACGGATAGGCCTGGCCATCTTGGGGCTGTTGCCAGGTCCTCGGTCAAAAACGACGGCAGGTCGGTGTGCAAGTCTGTGGCATCGGTGCCGGGGCTACGAAATATTATGGGATGATGAAAAGAGTACGTACTAGTATCTCACTATCTCTTAAATACCCATATACACCAGCACTCAAGGTTGGATCAAAAGTGCTATTTAATCCCCTATAGGACTATTCAATTTAGAGTAGTATGTTAATTTTGGATTTTGCCCTGCCCGACGTGCAGGGCGCAAATCCCCGGCGCAAATCCATCTTTGAAATCAGATCAGTATGGTTCATTTGACATTTACTTTTATCTGAAACTCAAGGCAGTTCTGTAGCTTTCAGTTATTAACTGTTTGATCACTACGTCCTCTGGTTATCTTGACCCGCCAAGAAATAAAATGTTTGCATAAGGAAAATACATTAAAGCTACCAAGTGCCAGTAATCACCAAAACTTGATTAAATTTCACGGTACGAGTTATGAATGTAGGGTGGTGTATATGCATGACTGTGGTTCCCGCATGATTGGAAAATGTCAGGTTCTTATCGTCATCACCTGATGAACAATTAAAACTACTTGACATCCGTCGAGCGGTGTCAACATAAATGTGCGTGGTTAACGAGAATGAGTGATGATTTTGCTGAGTGATCCAATCAGTTTCACAACAAGATCGGCATTAGACAATGGACACCAAACGACTGAACGTGAGCAAATTAACATCGATATTCAGAACTGTTGATTTCTTTTCTTCCTCTCTGATAGGCTATGGAGTCGTTTCCTTCCTACTTATATTGCTGATCGTGGTGTTCCACTTTGTCGATCTCGCCATCATTTTCAAGGATTATCTGGGTAAACGACAAGACACTGTGTTCTTCATTTCTTACTTGACGTACCTTCCCCAACTGACGATAACCCTGCTGTTCTGTCTGATTGCTCGATTGTACATCTCTTGCTTCTATGATTCCACTAGAGATCGCCTGGCCGTGTTCTCTGAGGTGTACTTGAAGGAGCGTTTGGAGCATAGCCCCAGTAAAATGTGGTGGCGTCTCCTTGGTTTCATGGCGCTACCAACTCCTTGCATCATCATGAAATTGATGGTGTTCTTCCTGGAATCTGGAAGTACAAATTGCCCAAGGGATGCCTTCGTTTACATCAGGACCATAGGGGGTGTGGCTGGTTACGCCCTCTATGGAATCTTCTGTTTCGTCATCCACTGCCTCCAGATGTCACATCGGGAGGAATTTCACCAAACTGCCGTCAGGATTAGCAAGCGGGGTGCGCCTGACATCGAGACCACCAAGGCCGAAATCAGGAAGCTGTGCTTTGGCTTTCGAAGCTATCGCGATTTCGGTGGGAGATGGATGGTACTGTCGGTGTCCATAGCGGTCTTGGGGGTCGTCTTTGCGATCCCTTATACTATGGATACATTGCCAGAGATCAGAAAAGACATCAAGCGGGAGGAGTCCAACTTGATGCTGTGGACCGTCTTCACTTGGTGTGACAAGGTCGTCTTTCTGGCTGGTCCCCTTTTGGCTGTTTGGGGTTTGGACGTTGGACGTCCTTGGCGCTACTTCAGAGAAAGAATCCTGCAGACATGGAATCGGCCAGGCGACAATAACAGAGACAACAAAGCAGACGGAATTGATAGTGAGACACTGGAAGCGATCATCAACCACATGACTCTTCTGAAAGACGGTGGGTCCTGGATCAAGTCAACTCTGGTCTCGGCCATGCTCAGCATCTATCTGGGCACTACGCTGGACCCTTCTCAAGACCTGGACCCATGGATTGGTTTAGCTTGTAGGCCCAATTTTAACCACACTGAATAACAGCCTGAATACTTTGAACTTCATCTTCGTCTCTGTATTCGTCTCTCGCCAGGAAACCATTTTGAAGACTCATAGCCTTTTCGACGACCGTTTTGCACAAAACGCGCCTTTACTCGCTAACCTATTAAAATTTCAGACGCCTGAAGTTTGGGATTGACGAAATACTTGAAGCATTATCTCCAATGGGACTTTCTCGTTGACATAGTTTTTGTATGTCAAAACGTAATTCTCTTTTTTCAGCCAAGGATAACAATGATGAACTTGTCGGGTATGTCATGTCCGTCACCTTTAAACAACACTCCCTTTTGGGTGATGAGAAGCACTCCCAGGCCAGATGAGCCCTCGTATAATTAAATGAAAAAAGGGGAAATTGATTCGAAATATTCCTATAGTATTTGAGACAGGCGTACAAGAAAACTGGAGCACATTTAAATAGTTTGTAGCTTACTCAGAAGCTCACCACGTAATCGGAAAAATCAAATAATAAGCATTTTATTCAAGCATTGTCAACAATGTTTAATGTTTGATTTACATCGTCAATTTATAAAGCACCGTAGTTTATCGTGGATGTTATGCTACTAGGGGTTTTAATTAAGAAATAATTCCCATTTTTCAATATTGTTATTTTATTATATGTGCAAAGTTAAAAGAGTTTAGAAAGTTGACATTGTCGTGTTGACATGAGTTCTGATGTAAATTAAGTTGGCACAGTTACAATTTTGTGTGACGCCCTCTTGCACTGTCACAGCCCAAATCCGTTTTTTCCCAGTATCCGTTGCTAAGACTATAATTAACTATTCGATGAAGCTCAGCACTTGTCTAAGGTAAATTCTGTCTATGTTAAGGCTTGGTGGCCCTAAGCTGCAGTGCGCTATATCCCTCATAAAGGCTAAGTTACGGATACAATTTGGCTCCGGGTCTTTCTTTGACAGCAGAAATGTTTACCGTCGAACGGAAATGGGGATGGGCGAAAGATCGGTGGCCTCCTTGTCAATCTCCCCAGTGGAGAATTCAGGAGGAATTTCTACCAAGTACCAGGTATCAAGTAGACGAAACTGGGTAACGCACAAGCGACGAACTAAAGAACTTTTCTCTGTTGTCTTCTACAAAGTTGTAATTCTCCGTCTAAGAATTCTGCTTGTATGAAAGGTATGGTTTCGATTTTGTTTAAGTTCGGTTAGGTTATTTGGTTGGTTTGTTGGGGTGTTTGCTTGTTTGTGTTTGTTTTGTTTTGGGGGCGTTAGGATGTTTTGGTGACCTTCATCTATGCCAACAGTATGTGCAGTACACTCACAACTTAAAAAACCAGGCTCGCAACACTTTTTGTCTAAAGTTAACTAACGTTTACCACTAAACCATGTTTTTTACTTTACAGTGTACAGTGACTTCATTTACATTTTTAACTCTGCTCTGTAAGCATGCAATGACAGACATTTACGACAATTTGCAATCTTGCACTTGAACCTTAGATTTTGATGTTAACCCATTCTTGCCTACGACTTTGACCCTGTTATTCGTTTACAATATGAGCAATAAAGAGCAACCAATAACAAAGACTAGTGACAAGTACTGTTAGATACTGTGTGCCTTATCAACGGAATGAAATTATTTCGATAATTAATTTCATGAGAAGTGGCGTCAATGTGTCAGTGCTGAAACTGATGCGTCGAAGGTCTTTACAAGGTCTTTCTTTATTTCACAGATTGTTGCTTTGCGGAAGTCATCATGTTGATTCATGGACAACTGAAAGTAACAAAATTGCAGTGGATATTTTGAACCTTAATTAATGCCATATCGATTTGTTTCAAGCTGATTTTCTAAACAAAAATAAACAAAAAAATGCTTTTTACCGTTCGATTAAACAGTTGGAATAAAGGCAAGTTCATGCTTTGAATAATTTGTATCCTTTAAATTGTGGTATAACCTCTATTTTCATGGTTGTGGTCCAACCGCTGTCCTTCCCCTTCCAACTGCATAGAAATTTCATGGTTCACAAACTCACAGCATTCATCCTATGTTAGGTACAGAAATATCCACACACCCTATACTATAAATTCAATCAACTTTTATTTTTAGTTTGTCTTTTAAACTGCCTCTTCAAAGCTCCTGCCGATCATGCGCAATTATCAACCAAATCACTGCTGTCCAAAACAACTGGGCCTTGTTTTCACTTGGATAAGACTCTGAGAATCGGCACCTTAGCCTTTTCGTTTAATTTGTCACTTGAGTAATACTGTATCCAGCGATATTCCACAAGTTCCAATTGTCCCTGCTCACTGAGTGCACCAATAACTGCCTCCAACCTGGCCTCCCATTGGTCGAATACTTTCACACTCAATGTAAACATTATGTACCCACCTAGTGAAAACAAGGAAAGAGGTCACTTTTAATTGATCAAGTCCACACCTGCGACCAGACTTATTATCACAACCGTGGAAAAGTTAAAGATACTAAATTAGTATCAAGTTAGAAACAGCATGCATGTACATGTATTTAAGAAATATTCAAATTTGCTGTCAGGATCAATGGTTTAATTCAACCGTGTTTTAAATGTTTTTACCCGGCTTCGTTATTCGAATCAGCTCTGGAAAGCACAAATCGTCTACGTGACCAGGAACGCCAAAGGCACCGCACATTACGACAGCGTCATAGTTATCTGGACGGGTACAAGAGGGAAATTCCAGTTCAGAGTGAAGTTCAAAAAGTCACTTTTATTTGTATAAATACATGAAGTCATGTTAATAGTGTCTTATAATCTGAGGTCGTACACTTCTGCGAAGCAATGTTGGATGAAGAACTAATATTCTGGGTTTATGTTATGTCCCCTGGAAATGGAAAAATTTGGGTTAACCCCAACTTAGTAGTTATGTCTGAGCTTCGCATGGTATCGTGGTTAAGTAACAAGGAAAAATCAAGATCCTCCCCTGAAAAGGAAGACAGGTATTTTTTCCCTTCAGCCAAGTGTGTGGGGCATATTTGTCTTAGGGTTCGACTTATCAACCATAGTAGAAATACTTCGCCACTTTAAGGAACACAAAATATCAATTCGTATCAATAGTGAAGGATGCTAATAATGATAACATTAGACCCGCACTGTCAGGAATTTTCGTCCGGTGGTCATCTAGTGTGTCGCATATGTACTCAGTGTAGCACTGACGTTCCTTGCTTTTGTCTAAGGAAATTTGGGAAGCGTCCAAAGCGTCGATACACGTGAAGCCGAGATTCTTAAGCTGTGGACAGAACAGATAAAAGCTTGCAGAGAATCATTTAACCTGTCACATAATTCTATTTTCGTTTTTCTTGGTATAATTTGAAGGTATAATATGATCCGTAACAGACCTGAGAGCAAGATACAGCCTTCGAAAGCAAAGTACAGAATAAAAACTCCTCGGGTAAAAAAAAAATTAATTTCACGGAACAAAGAGCAAATTTGAAATGCAGTGATGTATATGACGATCTGGTAATTTTTCAAAACTGATGATGACTTCTAATACTAGAGTACGTGTAATTTAAATGATGTCTTTTTGTTGATCGATGTTTACCGCTTCTCCGACCATTCCTATCCCTGAGGCTGCATCAAGAATCCTCACAGATTTATCACCGATTATTTCAGATGCAATGGCTGCCATATTGGACGGTGCGGGAAAGCCAAGGTCGTCGTGCAGCTGCAATGGCAAGGACAGACAATTTCTCGATAAGTCTAAGAGCATTGACATTAATGTCCAAGACCTGACTCCTTGGCCCAGAGGTCCTTTGACAAGAAACAACCTTCTTTCACGGCCACATCAATGAACGGCTGGAATAACCACAGATAAACACAAAAGTACGGACCTTCAAAGCCTTCATTTTCAAATCAAATTAGATTTTAGTTTTTGAGCAATTTCTTTTTGTTCTCAAGATTTATTGCCGTGAGGCCACAAAATCACTGAAAATTTGAGACTCTTAACTCGGTTACAATGTCATGCATATATTGAACCAATTAAAAACTTGGACGCGTTCAACCGTGCAGTATCTGTGGTAATAATTAGTACACAGCCTTTATACTTCGTAAATGTTTTCATATACGCGCCCAGGATATACTGTCATTGAATTCTCTCCATGAATGAATGGAAAAGGTCAGCATTAGAATCACAATTAAATTTAATTCACATCAACATTGAACATGAAAATATACAATATACATCAGGAAGAAAAAAACAGTTTAACAGAGAAATGGCAGTAAATTATTTGATTTAGACAAGTAAGCTCCATGGGGTGCAAGTATCATCATAATTTTTCTGATAATGACGTGCACATGGATGGTCAGTAAGTTTGTGTGTTTGGGGTCTTTTTACCAGAATTTTTAAACCCCATTTGGGGATATAAGGATCTCTCCTTTGTTTCAGGCACCATTATACATGATGTAACCTCATGATTTTGATCTTTCCTACATCAGTATTCAGGTTTGCCATTGTTGAAAGTAAAAAGAAATAATGGTTATGAGCTGGGGTGGGAAGTTGACACCCTGCCCCACCCCCCACCCCCACCCCCAAAAAGGAGCTGGCGGTGGACTGCTTTACTTCTCTCCAAAAGCTTATAAAATGCATTATATGCAGAGTGTATTCCAGCCGCCATCGTTAATAAGCATCATGTTCACGGATAAATAACACTCAAACGCTACCAGGACACAACATACACTTAACTACCTGAAGGAGTGCTGTGCCTATCCACTTGAGTAAGGTTTACTCCTTTATTGCTCTATCAAAATGTTCATAAATTTCAATCGGAGCATGCAACATTAGTGAGGATCTAATGATATACAATGAATACAACCATATTGAATCCATGAATTGACGAGTTTAGAAGCTCCATATAGTTGTTGACAACATGGTAAATAAATATTGACAAGAATATAATATAATCAGTGCTCTGAAATATGTAATTGCCAATGTAATTGCCTTCTAACTAATTTCAAGGCAGTTAGATGGTCTAGCCATAGCATAAGTAAATGGAGTAACAGTTCAATTAGCTACAAGATGTAACAGGATCACATTGAGTTGTTTTGGGGCTGTCCAACTTTGAAATCAGTGTGCTTTATTTAATCAACCCCAAATAACAGCAATTCCATACGGCTTTTTGTAGACTGCTCAATCACGCTAGTCACGGCATTTCATCCATTAAACCACTGTTGTCTCACTGTATGGCACACTGCTTCATTAGTATCTGGCTATTTAATGTGAAAAATATGGGCATCATAAGGACACACATCAATGTTTGCCTGGTTTTGTTAAAAGCCCCTCCATGCCCCCAAAATGTAATTATGGGACAGAATAATATGAGCTTTCAAACATATATAAGTCATGCAAATCAGAAATTAAAAGTAGGATATGATCCCATAAGTGACAGTCAAAGGGGAACATTAATATTTATAAACCACGAACCAATGAAAATTACCATACAAACAGGCATTTTCACTTTTATTTGTTCGATAACATAATCATGGCAACGTTTCACATGTATGTCAAGATCGACATTGACGTCTTTTAACTTAAATCTTCATACAGGTAGTCGAGTTCATATTGACAAGGAACATCCCCCCCGTGTGCACGTGTACAGTTCGCTATTGCATTGCCAGAGCCATTACCATTGTTGTATACAACATCATGCCCAATGAGGAATAAGAAAACAAACGCGTCCTCAAGTCGTACCTTGTGTGCTATTGTGTCCTACCTATTCTACCACTCCATCATTCAAAGATTTTAGTGGCCAAGTCAAAGGGTATGGATATTTTGTGGATCACTGTTACTAAGGAAATGGAAAGACTTTGTAGAAGTTTAAAGACTGAAATATTCCACCATCGGCGCGGCGCGTTTGACGAGTGAAGTTCAGCAAACCTCTTCCTACATCCATGAGTGAACAAACGCGCGCAGCTAGCACAGAGCTTCGCACGCCCCCAACCTTATGAGTTAGTCAGTTTTTTTACGAGAATTTTGTTTTGCAAGTTACAATTTTATGAGTTACAATTTAGTTTTGCGAGTTACAATTTTGTTTTGCCACTTGCAGTTTTGTTTTTGAGATTTTTCTTTTTTACTTCTTTTCAAACAAGACTAGCAGTTTGTATTGTCATTTTTGTAGTAGCTTTATCTTTGTTTTAAAAAAATGTTTCTTGTCCTTTTTACTTCTTTTTCTACTTGTATTTTTTTTCCTTTATCTTTTGATTTTTCAGTATTTATATTTTCTGGCTGATTCCTATTTTTTCTGCTTTCATTTCTTATTCGTTTTCTGTTTTAGTTATTTTATTCTGTTTTTAACTTTCTGTCTATTATATTTATTTATTTTTAATAATTTCATTTGGTTTTCCATCGTTTCATTTTTAATTTTTTTGTACCAATTCTCATTCATTTTTCTTAATTTTTGTTCTTTTTTATTGTTAAAACACTTCTTTATTTTTATTTGTTAATTTTTAATATAATTTGTTTTATTTTTCTCAGTCTTGTCTTTTTGCCCCGATGGCCGCCCATCAGAAGGTTGCCCGACTTTGTTTTACATGTTTACAGTCATATGTTTACGATCATAGGATGAGAGTGGAAAACCGTCAATAAGCTTTTGATGAGGTTGCTTTATCGAAGCTGAAATCCAGAGAAAACCGCCCTACCAACGATCCCCAGTCAGGCCAATAACATCCCTCGTACTTGTTCCCCGTACAACACACAAAGAACAACAGAACAAACTAAAAAAATTAATAAGTCTGGCACATACCTTGGCGTATCTATCTGCCCAGATGTCATAGAACCTCGCCATAGGCTTGCCGCCTCTATCTGCAGCGCTTCCCCATTCATACATTTCTCTCCGATATTCGGTGAAGTACTCGGGAGTGAAGTGCGCCATTTTCTTTCACCTATTGTGGTAACCGTGCAGTATAACGTTACGGGCAAGGCCTGGGGAGCATCGACGCAGACGCCGCACCTTGTGCAATGAATCCTCCGAATAGCTAGTAGTAGGGATTGGAGAGTTCTGCGCCACCTCCCCTTTCACCCCGCTTTCACCCCGCTTTCACCTTCCTTTCCGCCACCCGCGCCGGGGTTTCCCACTTCACTTACCTTGACCTTTTGACCCCGGCGTACTTTTCTGTCAACAACTCGCGACGTGCGCTGATCAAATAAACAATCACTCTCAAACAAAAAAGGGACTTCCCCTCGCTTTTCTGGTCTAAACTCGTGACTTCTACTTAAAGCGCGGCTCTGTTCAAAGCAAAATGCGCCATGTTTACAACCGCCTTAAATAAATGGCCTATATATAAAAATAACAATATATAAAAAAACATGTCAAGTCAAGTCAATAAAAAAAATGAGAAAAATTTTAGAAAGCTACTTATAAATAGAGACATGGAAAAACCACAATTTAGACCTCTACTAACGACCTTTTACCGGTTCAAAAAGGGGTTTTTAGAAGATTTTATCAAGCAGTATCACATCTCGGTACCACCTCCCAAGCGTAAATCTCATACTAAACCCGAGCTCATTGAAGCCATACGGGCAGACCAGAAACAATTTAGGTACCTCCCGCGTCAGTCATATCGTCAGCTGTTGAAAACGGTTCAAAAATACAATATTCCTTCTGCACACAAAGACAGATATGTTAAACAAGACTTTATTGAAGCGATTAAAGCTTACACTCAACCCAAGGAAATTGCGGAAGTCGACATTAGAAACGTGAGACGCTTTCAGGGCAACTACCGCAATTGGGAATTGATACCCCGTTTCTTTGAATACGACCTCGTGCCCGTTTTTGATTTTTACAAAACTTTCATCGAGAAGAAAGCGTTGGAGAGTTAAAGGAAGTGGGTTCTTACAAATTGCAAACGGCCCTAAAAGTGCAGTTTAGATTGGAAAAACCCGAAAAAACTGACTTTGGCGTATTTACCTTTCCGATTCCGATTTCCTTTCCGATTTCTATTACAACGAACTAAAATCAAATTTTGGTGAACAAGTAAATTTACTTCATACGTACACTGATTCTCTGTTAGTTCAGATTCAAACTGACGATTTAAACGGCTACTTGAGTAAAAAGCGTACATTATTTGACTTTAAGTAATTACCCGCTCGACTATCAACTTTACAGCACCAAAAATAAAGAGGTCATAGGCAAAAGGAAAGACGAATTTGGTGGTAAGGTCATTTCAGAGGTCGTTTGCATACGCCCAAAAATGTATTCGATCTTAACTACCGATCAAAATTTAAAGAAGGCGAAAGGGGTAACAAAAGTAGTAACCGAGAAACGGTTATCACATGATATGTATAAAAGCTGCCTATTTGAATAGAAGCAGCATTTCAATCAACAGCTATTATTTAGATCAGACAAACATCAAATATTTACCGTGTCGCAAAATAAGTTGAGTCTGTCGCCGTTAGACACCAAGCGTTATATTTTACCAAACGGGGTTGATACGTTAGCTTACGGGCACTATCAATCGAGGATTAAAGGATTTAAAGCAACTGACCTGGAGCGAGCTAAGCAATCTGTTAAGCTGAAGCGAGCGGAGCGAGCACAACGCGAATCGTTTATCTATCACTGGGTGTACAACTCAAATTTTAAGGACAAAGAGAAAGCTCTCAATTCAGTTTTTGCGCAGTTAAAACTCGGGCGGTAATTCGGTATCTTCGGGTACGACTTGAAGCTCCTCTTTGACAAAACTCCTCTTTGGCCCGTTTAATAGATAATACAAAGTGGGGCCCGTTTTTACCCTCCTGCCTTCCACTCGTTTAAATTGACTGGTGCGCTTCTCCACTTGATAAACGTCTACGGACCAGACTGGATCTGTCGCCCTTCTGACGGTGCCGCCTTCTTGCTCGCCCGGGTAATATAAATATCTAACTAATACATTTGGAGGTAATTCACGCGACGCGCTTTTAACAGGCGCACTAGCTATTTGTTTCACTCGGTCTAATTTGACGGCTTCGGCAGGAACAGCATCAATTAAGCGTATTTTTTCCTCGTTTAACGATTTTACGACCGATTTTACGCCCTCGTTTAACATTTCTTGAGCGTATTGATGACCGAATAACCTTTCAGCTAAAGTACGATTAAACCTTTCCACGATCCCCTGCGACCTATGAACGCCCAGGTTTCCCACTTAAATTTCCACCCCATGTTTAACAATTAACTTTTTAAACTCGCCTTTAAATTCAGATCCTGAGGCTACGTTTATAGTTTTAGGCCAAGTCAGAGGTGATCGCTCGTAAATTTTCTTGCTCGCTACGCTCACTTGCTCGGCCGTTTTACTGGTCAACGGTTCTGCTTCTTTATACCGCGAACCGACGTCTACGATCGTTAAAGCGTATTTAAAAGTTTTTCTTTTAACGCGGTCCCAGGGTAAGTACAAAATGTCCATTTGATGAGCTTCGTTTGGACTAACGTATTCTGTTTGCAACATTGTAGGTCTCGGTACGTAATTTGGTTTTGGTAAATATATTTGCCAAATAGCCTGCTTTTTTAGCCAGTTTCTAATAATTGATTTGTCAGCACCGGTCTTTTCGTGTAGATGATCGACGGCGCTTTCTTCTCGCCAGTAGCCTTGCGGGCTGTAAAATAGTTTTTTAAAAGTTTCCTCCACTTTTAAAATAAAGTTACGCAAATCGATAAGCTAAGAAACCGACTAAGGCCGTCCCACCTAAAATCCATACAAACTCACGAATTTTTTGATCTTCGGAAGGCTCGTAGAAATCAGACAATTTAGGTTCCAGTGGTAACCGCATTATATTTTTACCGGTCTATTCGCTGTAAGCTCGTAACGCTTCGTGCACAGTTACAAATGTTTGCTGACTCGCGCATTCTTGTCTCATTCGTTTTTTCAGAAAATCTAGCATGTGTACGCGGTTTTGTTCCCAGGATTCCTTCGCTTGCGCCAATTGCTCTAACGCAAGGTTGTGACGCTTTCGTTCTTCGTCGACTTTACTTTTTGATAAACTGCTAAATAAAAAATTTGACCCCGCGAAAGCTTACGCATTC